ACCTAGTTAATGTATTATTAAAAATAAAATTTAAATATTATTACACTCTATTATTATTGTAATAATTTGAAAAATAATAAAGTATTACTAACATATTCCACTAACAATGAACCAAGAGGTTACAAATTTTCCAAAATCTTTATATCCATTACTAAAAAATAAAATATTATGGACAAATTTGTTCGCGAAAGATTTAAACGTATATATAATAAATATGATAATAAATATAATAAAATTATCGTTATTATTAACCTCGAGTCATCCGAATAGTAATCGCTATCATGTCCACATTTTGAGAAGATCCAGTTTGGTACTGGGGCAAAAACAAAAACAGCAACTAAAGCAATTGGATTTTAAATAGTATTTAAAAAATATCATTATAATGAAAATATTATCATAAATAAAATTATAAAAAAGTAAATTTACCAACAAATAATGGCCACCAGTTACTGGGATTCAAAAATATTTAATTAGCATTTATAAAATAAATAAAAAAAGCCATTAAACTAATCATAATATTAATGTGATTACGCGTATAATGCACCAGATAATATGGCAAGTAAAAATCCGCTAGCAAGTACAAATGACAAAGAAATGATTCTAAAATCAAAATATTTATAATTAATTAATTAATCAATCAATGAATTTCGATATATATAATTCCTTTTTTCTCTCCATCCTTTTAAAATAAAATGTAAACTTACGCTAATATTTCATTATTAATTTGGTTGGGCATTTATTTTTTATGAAAAAAAAAAGAAAATTTATTAATTTCAAAAATAATAAATAAAAAGCATCATTTTATTTACATACTTTTTAACCCAGCCATTATAATAGTTAAAGTAGTGATTTGAAAAAATTAGAAAATAAAATCATTTTTGACATCAAGCTTAAAAATCATTTATTTGATTTCGTGTGACAAATATAATTTTTTTGGAGTCAAACTAGCCAGCAGCCAATTTTCCAGCCACAATTACGTACAGCAGTGGGGTCGATTTAAGTCCCCTCCCCCTCCTAAAAATTTCGGGTCATCATCAATAATAACAATTGATCCTACAAAAATATCAATGTTATAGAAGATTTGAATCAGGTATTTTTAGTGGATTTTACTGGGGGGTTTTTTTGAAGATGGTAAGTTTTCAGTATCAGGTATAGATATTTTTATAAAAGATATTTTTAATCAAGATTACTCAAATAAATGATTTTAAGTATTAATGATTTTCTAATTTCTGATAATGGTTTTTTTTTTAACGAGAATCACACATGAATAATTAAAGATAATTTTAAATATTAAAAATTATTATATATATACATACATGGATCTTAGTCAATAAAATAAGATCCCAAGTTATAGAAGTCATACTGGCATCAAAAAAATTTAGGTAAAAAATTTTTTATTACATCTATAAAATAAAATTAAAATATGAGGAGCTGAATTTCCTCTAAGACTTATAAATATGTATATAATTCTTTAATACACACATACACATATATACAAACTCTTAATATACAATTCTAGTTAAAATACTAGCTCTACTATTATTGATATTTTCATAAATTTTT